AGACCTAGGAAAGGCAAATGACTTGTCCCACACCACTCAGCAACTTTAAGACATATCCCGCTTTCTAGAGCTCAGCTCAGAGTTCTCTCCATATTCAGTGTATGTGCTATTAGTATTTTCTATGACTAGTCACTAACTCACATATCCTAGATGAGATTTGCTTTAGTAAGGAAAAAAGGAGAAAAAGCAACATATAGAAAGCATGGGAATGAGGACCAGGTAACCTGGGTGCATATACCACTTCTGTCATCTGTTAATAAGAAGCTAGGACACTGGGCAGGCAATTCACTTGCTTTTACCTTAAATTTATTTGGGTGCATTAAAAATACTAATTATATGGGCACACATTTAAAGAAAATCATTTTTCATACAAAAGCTTCCCTGGGAGCTCAATATGAATAGAGGGGGAAAAAATAGAGCTGTTCTGATTGAAGACAAAATGGGTGTTCAGAGTCCTGCCCCAAAACACTCTTGTCTCCTTGGGGATGGGGGTAGTAAAAGTGGGCAAAGCACATCCACAAAACTCCCAGTTCACTCAGTATAATACTAAAAGCCACCCAAGACCAGTGAATGCCAGACTCAGACTTGAATCTCCTGGATCAGCAAAAGTTCAAAAGAGACTCTGAAGAACAGATATGGAGTTTTTACTTTGCCAAGTAAAAATGTCTTTTTAAAAAACAATCAGTATTATTTCATACGAAAGAACATTTTAGCATCAAAAAAGGAGGAAGAACAAAATCACAAATGAATAAACTTAGCTTTGCTTTGTGAAACTAATGGTGACTACTGGTGGATCAGAGAGAAAGTCAGCACACCCCAGGAGGCCAGAATCCAGCCTAGAGTCACTCTCAGGTCATCCAAGTTCTGAAGGTATGTGACTTCTACTTCTTCGGACTCCATTCTGAGAGGGTTAACTTCAAAACTACTTTTCTGGCCGGGCTCGGTGGCTCAGCCTGTAATCCCGCGCCTTTGGGAGGCTGAGGTGAGTGAATTGCCTGAGCCCGCGGGTTCAAGACCCGCCTGGGCAGTGAGACCTCATCTCTACAATAAATCAAAAAATCAGCTGGGTGTGGTGGCGCATGCCTGTAATTCCGGCTACTCGGAAGGCTGAGGCGGAAGGATCGCTGGAGCCCAGCAGGCCGAGGCTGCGGTGGCCGTCAGCCGGGAGCGGCCACTGCACTCCAGTCTGGACGACAGAGTGAGACTCCAACTCAAAAAAAAAAAAAAAAAAAAACTACTTTTCTGTTACCTATTCCTAAGACCGTGATTTGTTAAGTAAACAAAGTAACCCAGGGTCATTGAAAATAAAAAAACAAGTGAAAATGTCTACAAAATTTCAACCTCAAAATGTATGACATCACTGTAGTTTGTTTGTTGAGTCAGGGTCTCACTCTGTCATTCAGGTTTGAGTGCAGTGGCATGATCATGGCTCATCACAGCCTCTACCTCTGAACTCAGGTGATCCTTCCATCTCAGCCTCTCAAGTAGCAGGGACTACAGGATCACATCACTATGACAGCTAGTTTTTTTATTTTGTTGTAGAGACAAGATCTCCTATTGCCCAGGCTGGTCTCGAACTCCTAGGCTCAAGCAATCTACCTGGCTTGGCCTCGCAAAGTGCTGAGATTACAGGTGTGAGCTACTGTGCCCAGCCCATTGTAGTTATTTTAGCACAACTTTCCCCACACCTAAAAAAAAAATAAGCATCATCTATAATATACTCAAAGTAACTTTTAACTAGAAAGTGTGTGTCTCTGAGTTATTTCCTATCTTGCACCTTCATAGTCAGTGTTCAATGTCATCAGAATCAAGCTTGTTTAATAAATCTTACTGTCTTTTCAAAAGCAGTATAGCACTGAGATATTTCCGAGGATCTATTTCCTTAAGTTTTATCGCTATGTTTCCTCTTTTTAACATTTCTGCAAAATCCTTCCAATGACCAGAGATTACTACAAGCACTTGTGACTATCAAAGCAACAGGAAATCTTGTTGGATAATGAGGTAAAGCTTTTATTTCCAGGATTATGTAACCTCCTTGAACCCAAAAAGCCATGTGGTCCATTGATCATTGCTACAAGTATTTTTTCAGGTCTCCGTTTAAAATCTCTAGGTTATAAAAATATATGACATCCTGTTAGCTAAAGCAGTACAGTTCATATATTTCTCTGCTAAAGAAAGTTTTGATATTCAAAAGACCTATAGCTCCTAAACCTCCTATAAGGTACCAGTCAACCTTCATAAGAGTTTCAGCTTCTTTTTTCTCTTCCATCCCTGATACTGCACATAATATATTCTAGGCAGACCTTAGATCTACCTTTTAACAAAAAGTTGTATCAGATTCCAGAGAGGTCTATTCTAACTTTATCTTACTCTATTCATACTGAAAAGAAGTTTTTCTTAGAAATATTCTCAATATTCCAAGGGAAGAGATAAGCAGTAACATCATTTCCAAAATTAAAAACTCACATTATTATTAGGGCTTCTCTTTTCTGGGAAATAAAGATAATTTCATTAACTTTCATTCAAACATTTCCCAACATTAAAAAAAAAAATACTGTACCCCTTATATTCCTCCTGCATAATAAGATGATTTGCTGCATGAAACACAAAACAAAGTAGAAAGACAGCTGTGTAAGTCCTCTCTCACACCTTCAACTTCTATGTACTGATTCTTTAAAATAGCTATAAAACAGGAAAGACTATATTTCCTGGTGAATTAAGTCCGCAAATACCATTAAGATATCCTGTAGGTCCAGAGATGAAAGTGATGCCCTAACTGGAATTGGACTAAAGTGCTTCAGAAGGCAGCATCCTCAAGTCACACAATGATTATGTTTAAACAAGAGAATCAAAGAGAAGACAAAGTTTGCTCAAAAACTAAGTCACATCTGTCGTTTAAATCACTCAGACACACACTTAGAGAAACCTGATAAATCATATCATATGCTTCTTCACACATTTTTGTCTTCACCCCTTTACCAAGTCTCCCCAAATACATTTTCTGTGTCTGTTTCCAAAAGGCACCTGAAAGCCACAAGCCTTCATTCCTGTCACTTATGCTTGAAAAGAAGCTGGGTACAAAGAGTAGTTTGAGCTAACTCCTTGGGCTCTGTCAGTCGGCCTGAACTTGTCACTGCTGCCAGTCCTCGGTGTCTTGAAGAATGTTTGAGTCCTGGCTACAAACCAGTCACTCATCGCCCTGGTAATGCCACTCTTACAAAAGCACTGCCATGTCTGAGCACTCAGACAAGGGCTATGAAATGGAGGCAGCAAAACTATTCAGAGCAATAACAGAATACAGCCTCTGTCCAGGGAAAGCTCCTGGCCGAGCAGCAGAGCCAAGTCTGCTGCAGCCTCTTCAGTCTGTTCCTAGTCCAATCCCTAGTGATTAAACAGAAATGAGACCTCTTGACAAGAGAGCCTTCTTTCTCAGATGTCCAGAGGCATACACACTGGACAAATGGGAAGCAGAGTGGGGAAATGAAGGAAAGGGTTTGGCTTGAGCTAACTTTGGAGATTGGCCCCAAAAGAAAACCTAATTCGGATGGCCTTTACCATTTTTTAATTTCCCCAGCTGATACAGTATTAAAACCAAATATACACCCCAATTTATAGTGGAATAAAAGAAGTGAGATCCAGGAGGCAGGCTCAAGAATGAGAGCAATGTCTTACAGCTGAACCCACCAGGAAAAAAATCAAGCATATAGCATCAACAAGTATAAAAATAAACCATATTTAGCAATTATACAAATATGCAAGAACACACACAAAGGAAACACGGTAACGGGCTGGGTTTTCTTTGGCTCTAGATTATATCTTTCATTTTACATTTATATATGCAGAAATGAGACCTTCTTAGTGAAATAAAATAGGTTTATTTTTATGCTGAATGTGCAATATTCATAAATATCAAATGCTTTCATTAGGCTAAAGATTTTCTTCTTAAATTTAAATCCTCCCCACTAGAGCCTCTAAACTCTAACGTCCCTGCCATGGTGGTTCCTGTCTGCACTTTAAAGCATATGCAGAAGCTACCACCTGATTTAGCAGTCAGGCTGCACACACTGGAACTCTCGTTTTCAGGCATCTTTGAAGACAGAGTGATATTTAATACTGAATATAAGCAGTCTTTTCATCTTACACTGTAGAGTAATTGCTTCCCACTTCAGAACTATAGCATGAGTTATCATCTCTGACTTGCTCTCTAAGTGCTAGGGCCAGCATGGAAAAAAAATGACAAAGAACACTATGGGCTTCCTAAGGGAGCTGGAGCTTTGCTAACCGCCAAGAAGAAATCATGACCAGTCAGACATAGCACAATGAGCTATGGCACGAGAAATAACATACGTTATTGGGTCGCAGTTCTAGGAAATCATTTCTACTAAATGTCCTCAGAACGCAGAAGCTCAACACTTCTCAGTGGCAGACACACGAGATAAAAATCACAGCTGCACATGGATAATGTTTATAACTGTACATACGTACTTGAGGAAAACTGTACATATATACTTGCTGAAAGCTGTTGTTCACAGAATACTCTAAAGATGGGAGATACAGAATACTTTCCCCCTAGATCCCAGGAGCTGAACTGATGAGTTTAGAGCGACCTATATTATCAAGCTGGGCTCATACGAGCTATAAATCCTATCAGGCGTAACTCACAGAGCAACTGTCTTTTTTATTTAATTAAAAGCCAGAAAATATAATGGAAAAAGGTGGTAGGAGTAAATGGAGCAAAGTCCAATGAGTAAAGCATCTTGAGCATTTTTCATCCTGCATTGGAGGGAACAAATGGATATGAGAGAGTAAATAACAGGCCGCGTGGATTTGAATCCAATGAGAATGTCAAGATATACAAATAAATATAAAATGCATGTTGAAAAGAGGAGGATTTAAAACCACTTTAACATCACGAACATTGTTCTTGTCAAAATACAAAATCGTTTGTCTGGTATACCTTAACAGAGCTTGGAAAAAAACATACGTATGTAAGCCCTTACCTGTGCTTGTCTCTTGTTGGCTTCTCTTCTGGCTTCTCTTTCTTTCAGTCTTTTCTCCTACAGGAAGAGGGAGAAAGTTAGCAATATACAAACTCCTATCTAAAACAGACTCTAAAACACACTACACATTCATTAGAATTTTCTTTCTTAAAGCCAGCCGATACATGACATTTATTTTTCAATAAAGATCGACTGAAAACCATGGTAGAACTGGTACAAGTATTAAAATCGTTAAGTATGTGTCAGACAGATCTGGAATCAAATCCCACTTCCTGACCATAGAGCTTGGAGCTACTTACACTTTCTCTTATTTTCTCACCTAAGAAATGGAAATAATGGGAGCACACACTTAAAGTTGATATAAGAATTATGTAAAATAACATACCTAAGTGGTTAGCACAATGTCTGATATACTACTGGTGCACAATGTCAGCTATTAGAATAAAAAGAAAGAAAAAATGCAACAATCACTATTTCTCTTGTTCTGTCTGTCAACAACTTATAGAGGATACAAAATCCTCATCCCGAGAGTTCTCAGGAATGGCAATATTCTATGAAACAAAAAACAATTCTCCTTTTAAGTATGTTATTTTATTACATTGTTTTATAATTCCCCCCATTAGTCTTCTATTGATCACAAAATCGGCAGAAAAACACAACACCAAGATTTTTTAAAGAAACAATAAGTACGTTTAAAATTAAAACCCCAAACAAAATGACCCAGCTAAAGTTGAAATAAATGCTGCCTTAAATTTTAAAAACCTACCTTCTGTTCCAAAAATAGAGTTAACAGTAAAAACGCTATTCTCAATCCTAAGTACATAGCTAACAATTTATATATTTTGAAAAATTCTGATGAACTACTAGGTCAATGTAAAAAAATGGATAAACAATAAATAATGTGTGTTTCATGAAGTAATATGAAAGTGCAATCATGATTCACTGTTATACTAGACACACATTAGCAGGAGGATGATTAGGTTTTCTAAGTCTGGGCGTACTTTCATTACCATTGGTCTTAGAATCTGGAGAAATTCATGTATGTAATTCTCCAGATTCTAAAACCAACTCTAATCCCTACTCGGAAGACAGAATGGAGGCTGTTTGGTTGCTTACAACATCAAGAAGGATAGGAATTGCTACTACACACCATGACTAGGTTTATGGACTGCTTTATGATAAAGTAGAACAAAAGGTTAAAAGTCTCAAAGAGAGTTAAACACTTATTAGTTCAAAGAGGAAAGGAGTCCACAGAGTTTACAGATTCAGCTTCTATAGCTTCTCACTGCACGACAGGAAAACTAAATTCTGAGTGAAATCAACAAAAACTCAAATTCAAATGGCTACTGTCTATGTGTCATGCCCCTAAGTAACAGATGTTAAATTACTCTGTTTCTGTGATCAGTATTATTTTTCTTCCCCAGCTTTGGAGCAAAAGTGACTTCCAAATAAAACATACAACTAACAGAGCAGGTAAATCTTAAAGGATAATTATACAAGAGAAACATTCTAAAGATTACTTGGGAGTTCCAGAAACCAAGGTCAGCGAAAGGAAAAAAAATGAAGAAAGAACAACTCAGGAAGTTTTTGGTTTGTTCACTGTCAAAGAGCTTAGTTAGAAAGAGACTGACCTCAAACTTGGGTCTCTGTGTGCCAAGTCTAATGCATTTTCTAATACAATCTAATAAAACGAAAATGTTATGGTACAGGAATTGAACATTTACAGATGTAATTTTAAAAACAAGAAAAATTATAATAACAACTAATAATATTTTAGCAAGTAGCCAAGTAAGCAATAGTTATTATCAAACTATCCCTAAATTGGTTCTCTAATGAGATGATGAGATGTTCTGTCACTATATTAAAATAAACTCAGTGTTTCCTCAGGTTGTGGGAAAAATAAGTTAATGAATGGCAGTTTCTAAACAATTTGTGCCTTGATTCTTCTTAAAAGTTAGTACTAATGACTGATTTTCTCTTAGCATTAGCAGACTACAAAATACATGAAAGTAGCAAGACAATATTAAAGAAAAAAATTAAGATAACTGATCATAATTTTGCTTAGTATGAAAGCTGGCATTAGTTCATGGAAACTTGTATTTGTAATTTTATCTCCCTTTTCTTTTCCCATATATAATAATTTTTTTTCCTGTTTTAGATACTAACATTAAACATAACAGTATGTTATTTCACAAAGATCACAATGATTTTCAGGTATTTTGCTGCTTATACTAATTTCAAGACTACAGCTATATAAAATATCAAATAACAACAGAGAGCAATAAATTACTTTCATAAAGATTTATTTGTCCATTAGCACATTACTGCTGTAGTACTTTCTTACCAGCAGTAACAGCTCAGAATTAAAAGTATCTACCATGTGCTAAGCATTTCATGTACCAGTCTTTTTTCAATTTTTTAAAACTATCTAAGAGAACTTGGAAGGTATTATTTTTCTCATTATCCAGATGAAAATAGAAGATCAAAGTAACTAAGGAACTTCCCTGATTCCACACAGTAAGTGACAGACTTGGCACTAAACTGGGCCTGTGAAGTCAATGTCCTCACTCCCTCAACTCTAGCGCACAGCTACATTACCCACTCCTCCACTAGAATGTTTGTGTAGCTTTGCCTGTTCATATGTAGTATTTTTTTTTTTTTTTTTGCCTCAGCCTTCCAAGTAGCTGGAACTACAGGCATGTACCACCACGCCCAGCTAATTATTTATTTATTTATTTATTGTTGAGACGAGGTCTTGCCAAGTTGCCTGGGCTGGTCTTGAACCCACGGGCTCAGGCAATCCACTTGCCTCCACCTTCCAAAGTGCTGGGATGCCAGGCTGAGCCACTGAGCCCGGCCCATATGTAGTATTTTTATCTTATCAATACGCTTTAGACAAATGGCGTCGCTTCTTTTTTCATTATTAATAGCCTGCTACCATATGGATCTTTTCATCCTGATAGCATCTTTCTTTCTGACAGTATTTTATGGACATTACTTAATTAATTTTTGTCAGTCTTCTGTACAGAAGAAACAGATAATTGACCACATTTAACAGTCACACAAATTTTTGTTGTAATTATTCAGTAATCAGCTTTCTCCCACCACATTAGAGTACCTGGAAATGGTACTTCAAAGTTGCAAAGAATAACCTCAATATGATCACATCAGAAAAACTCTATGCAAGTAAACATAACAATATCTTCACGAGAGGTTTTATTTAGCCATTTTAATCAGAGCAACAACAAAAAAAAATGCACTAACAATTTTCTACTTCTACAGGATTCCAGAATTCTTTATGTCATTAAAGGATAGTTTAAATTTTAGTTTTAAATTGGCTATCAGAATTCCATGTGCATGCAAATATAATAATATTTCCCTTTTCAGTTTTCTACCACGAGTTTCAGATGGATGGGGGAATATTCAAAGACTTTTGCAACATGAAACAAACATCCCCAAGACATGAAACAAATGCATTAATGACAACAAACTTTGAATACTGAGTGAAACAACAGGAAAATAATTTGAAGTGAATTATTAGAAAACTTTTCTTTCTTACCTGAAAAAGCTACATTAGTACTCTGAAAAGAAGCAAGACTAAACATTCACTTTTAAACAGAGGAGCAGAAGAAGCAGAAGCAGAATTCTAGTAATCCAAAATTTAAAAAATGGATATAGGAAAGAAAGTATACTCTTTGTTGATGTAGGAAAAAAGTAACATTTTTTAAAGGTTTATGACAAGAAGATTTATTAAAGGTAAAAGACTGGCATACAATGACTTAGGGGGAAAGTAAAATGGAATTTTATTAGATTCGGAACTGAGGTCCACCTTCTCCTTCATTATATGTGGTTCAAGTACTCTAAATCCTTCATTTTTCCTATTTCATTTTTGAGGGCATATTGGTACCAAAAGTTATATTATGCCACAAAAAAAGAAGGCAAAATTGTATCTTTAGTTCTGCCATGCTACAAAAGATTAAGTATAAGGAGAGCATGAAATTCAATAATGAAAATCAAATTCACAAGGGACAGAAAAACAGAAAATCACATTTCAAGGTACAAAATACTCCCTTTATAGATATTATACTTCTTTTGTATTCTCACACACTATAGGTCCTTAGCTTCAAGAAAACAGAGTTCCATGAAATATGAATTTCATGAGCAGTCAGGACTATGTACTTAAACCTTTTTCATTCTAGGGTGATGCTTGAAAATTTGTAGATTTGGACATACAACTCATTTCTCAGGAGGTTATGGAAGCATAACCCATTTGAATGAATCTCAAGCAATTGTGTCAGTTTGGTAAGGAATTGAGTTCTAGCTATCACACAGGGAAGAAAGGGACATGTATTTTTTACTTCGGTAGTACAAGAACCAATTTTTCAGTGATGAAAACTGGCTCAACAAAAGTGAGTAAAAGGAAGATTATGAGAATTTTTTAAGCCCTGCAAGAACAAAATCCCAGGAAACTTAAATCCTTCCCATGAACTCAAGACAACAAGGTTCTTTGATCTATGACCTATTCTACAGTTTTGCTTGAACAACATTAAAAAAAAAGTGGTCTTCTATACATAATTCTGTAACAACTACAACAAGAATATGAAGACAGAGAGAAAATAACAAATTGATACGGAAACACTAATTCACTAGTTAATGTCTTTGAATATTTACTTATCTATTATGTGCCAGGCTACATGGTGGGCTATGAATATATTAATAGCATAATAGGCAAAACAGACACAGACCACCTTCCCTCTCCTCTTTAGTTTAGGACTTAATCCCCTCAGACTCCCTGATTCCACTGGCACCAAACTCTGCTCCCTGTCCCTCAACCCCAGTCTCCAACTATTCACCACCAATCTAACATCCAATCCACCTCTCAAACACCATATAGTGTTTTAAAAAAAATACAAAGAATAAAAATAGAGACAGCAAATAATTCAAAGACTTGCCACAATTGATAGATAAGACCAATGCAATTTTGAATACGTGTCTCACTTTGGATGCTGGATATAAAGAGGGCCCAAACACCAAGATGCTAAATTAAATGTCACTAG